AGATCCACCTGGAGATAAGCACCTCCCTTGTTTTGTATGAGTTGGAGACTGAGGAGCTATTTCTCCTCTCTCCCACACTGACCTTTTGTTTTTGTGTAAGAAGGTGTACGTGGGCTGCGTGAGCCTAAACATCCCTTTCTCTCGGACCCTGCCACTTGCCATGTGCTGTACTCCTAGGAAAGATTCCAAGAAAAACATATTGAATACCTTAAAGAGGGTTCCTCTGGCTTGAGCTGGGGTGGAGGAAGACAGATGCAGATCGTGGCATTTTCTGCTCCCTGAGTTGTCTGAAATGCTTCTGACTAGAGCTGCATGGTGCCTTAGCTCAGGGATAGATCTGGGCAAAGCTGGACTGCCCCAGAGCACCATAGTGTCAGAGCTGGAGATTGCACAGCAAGGCCAACAGAAGAGAAATCTGGCCATGAATTCAGTGGGTACTGCAATGATTGAATGGGCCTGAAACAGCTTAAGTAGTCTACAGCATCTAAGTAGGAAGACCTGTGGCCAGAGTGAAAGTTTCCCGTTGCCCCTATAGTAAACCTTGCTCCAAAAACATGAGGGTGGGCTGGCAGAGGCCTTGTGCCGGAGCAGCAGTTCAGGCTAGGACCTGCTTCTCAGCTGCCCACAAGGATCCTCCCACTGCCTGCCTTCCAGAGTAGGAGGCCTTAGACTGAGAAGGGGAAGGGGCTTGTCTCCCAACACATAGCCGAAATTGCCCAGGCCTTATTTGAACCAGTTCCTGATTTGCAATAACAAAACACCCTCCTAAAGGTCAGAGAAAACACCCAGCCTCAGTGCACTGAGCACCGTGCAGGGACACCCTGCGACCGTAAGGGCACCAGCTACAGTAACTCCGCTCAAGTCAGAAGAGGCACCAGTCAGGCTACGTACCATGGAACAGGAGATGAGCAGCAAGCCAGGGGGTAGAAGCCAGAACAAGAGCAAGCCAAAGGGCCTGGCATAGCACCTTCCTGCTTCAGTCCTTCACCAGCACAGGCAGCTCCTGCAGGTGCTCCTTATATTGGCTGGTGAAGTTGTCTCTGCACCTGGGGCTGCCACGGCACACCTGAGGGCAGTTGCTGGTGAGCAAACCTCAGCAAGGTTCAGTTGGGAGACACTGGGTCTAAGCGGAGCGTGTTCTCCCTCTGACACCACAGCATCCAGCGTGGGGCTTCCAGGTGCCTGCAGCGCAAATTCAGCCATGCTATGGTGAACTTCCCTGATCTGCAAAGGTGACATCAGAGGGCAACGCTGAGGTCCTCAGGGGCCATCTCCCCTGGCCCCACTGATGTGGGGTGTTGCTGGCAGGCTGGCGTGCTCCCAGTTGATCCAGGGCGATTTCTCTTCATGTTGTCAGGGCTGAGGGAGTAGTTGTCTGCTGAGGGAAGGCCAAGCTGAGGACCTCTGGGAAGGATCAATGTATTTTTCTGCCTTTTCTATCCCTTTCCCATTGCTGTGCGTGACTTGTGTTGTCAATTGTTTCATGTCCTGGAGCCAGATCCCAGCAAGCAGCTGGCAGTGTTGTGCTGCCCCAGATGTGCCCCTGTGGGTAAGGAGAGTAGGAAGGAGTAGCATGACGTTTTGCCTGGCTCAAAAGCAGCGTGCAGCCATTGCTTCCTCCTTCCTGTAGCTAAACATGCCTGTTGGTAGCACAGACGGCTGGGTTATGATCCCATTAACCTGAGCGCTCTAGACCAGTGGGTGAGGAACACTGGTTTCTGTCTGGCTTGAACTCATGGCAGTTCCCAGGCCCTATTCGTGGGCTCAAGCAGCTCACTTGCCTCTCCACAATCCTAAAAGAAGGGCTGTCCTTCAACACCAACCTCTGCAGGCTTCAGCAAAGTAACCCTTGCTGTTCAGAGAACTCTGCTGCTTAATTCTTTTCTTCCTGGAGCCTGTTGAATGCAGTTGCTGTAACAGCCCTGGCAGGGAGCAGAGCTGGAGTGCTGCTGGCTCTGGTGGCATGGACTTGCTGCCCCATTACGAAACTGAGCTCAGGGGTGCAGGAATGAGGGGAAGGGGCATCGATCTGGCAGCTGCTGCTGGGTGAAGGGCTAGCTTGTCCCCGGAGTTGGCCTGCTGTGTCCACGGAGCATCCTTGCCAATTGGTGTTAATGCTGAGTGCTTCTCGACGTCTCCAACACTGATCTCCTTTCCTGTTGCTCTGTGGCCCCTACAGCTTTGGAGCGACGAGGTGGAAAAAGTAAGTACCCAGCTGAAATTGTGCTCAAACCTTCTGGGCGTGCTGGTGGTGTTTAGGGGGCGGGGGTGCTGCGGACTCCTTCCTGCCTGTGTGCCTGCACACATGCAGGGGAGGATCAGTGGGATGTTGCCGTTGTCAGCCCCAGTCCTGATCCGGCGGCTGTACGGTTCAGCGCGACTGACCGTGGCTTGGGAAGAGCCTGCCCCGTGGGCCAGTCGGCTGTACCTGGTGTGAGAAACTTCCTAGGCAAACCAGGCATGTGTTCGTATGTGATAAAAGGCAACTCTGAGAGCCCTGCACCGGTGTCGCAGGAGCAGAGGTGATGTGCTGTGACGTGATTCAGCTCTGCTCCTGTGGCAAAGGCCCTGCCTGCTCCAATTTTGCATGTGCCATGCATTAGCCTGTACTTGCCCCTTGCCTGCTTGTTCTGGGGTCTGAGCAGGAGCTCTGGGCAGAGCGGAAGCAAGGACAGAGGGTTTCCCCATGAACAGCCCCAGCTGCTGGAGGGAACAGCTCTGTCAGGAGGGCAGCGTAGGAAGTTTGGAGCCTGTCGTGGAGTTAACTCTGTCTGGGTGGGCTGCACTTACCCTTCTGAGTGGATCCATGGAGGCAAAGTCCCAGATTTTATTTATTTTCTGGGTTCCCCAAGGGGAGCGTGACTTGCCCATGAAGATGGATGGACGGCTGCTAGCGGACTAGAGACCAGGGTGCGCTCTGTGCGGAGCTCCAGCATGGCATGGAGCTTCCAAAGACACATTCTGGGATCCCGTTGCCTTTCATACGTCAAACACCCCCAGCAGACATTAGCCCGAAGCCTGAACTGCAAGGTGGTAGAATGGCACGTTCCTGCATGCTGTGCATGATAGCAACCTGTTACTGCCTTACTCTAAATGCATCATCAGAGCACGCTGGCTGTTTTTGAACCAGCTCATCCTGCACTTGAAATCCTTCAGTCCCTCAAACAAAAAAAAGCTGATTGCAGTCAGCTATAAGTATGCAAGGCTCTGCTCCTCTATCCTTGGTCTATCCTGGTTGGATGGACCAAGGTATGTCAGTAAACTTCAAAGTTCTCAGTGACTTGGAGAAGCACAGACTGGAAGGGACCACCCAGGTCACAGTCCGGTGCTGGCTTTATGGGAAACTACATCCTGCAGCTGCTCAGAGCTAGCAGGGAGAGGCAATGGGTCAAATCCCAGGTGGTGCCAAGCAGAGCTGGGTCTGCCTGTCACAAGTTTCAAACGGCTCTGCTGCTACCAAAGTCTCTGCTCAGCTCACTGCAAGCAAGAATGTCTTGGTGCTTAGTAAGGCATTGTACTGGTATTTCCTGTTATATTGCCCCTTCTTTAAATAATCCCTTTAATACAGAGGATGCAAGAAAATAGATCAGTTGTAGCTTAAAATAGACAAATCTGATTAAAAGACAGTCAAAGCATTTATTTGTTCTAGCCTAGCTGTACTGGTAATGCTGTTACCAGATGAGAGGTGTAATGGCCCACAGCAGCACCTCTAGCTTGCCCTGCTGAGAAGGCTGGGTCTCCTCTGGGGTGACCCTGCTCAGGAACACCACTGATGTGGCCTCTGCTCTGAGACTATCAGCCTGTCTGGATTAGCTCTGGGGTCAAATCCAAGCAAGTCCTGTGCCAGATTGCTCAGGGCATTGCCAAAGCAGCAAAAGGAGCTCTATCACAGAACTGGTGCTGTGCAGGCACCACTGCACCAAGGCAGGCAGCCCTCCGATTGCTGCACCCCCCCCGGAGAAGGGGGAAAAGGACACAGAACCTGAACTCTGCTTCCAGCAAGCTGTAGCCAAGTGGACATCACTCTTCTGTGCCATCCTAAGAGGGAACTGGCATGTTCTGCTTGGTGTTAAGGAGTAATGCATGCTAGAGAGAACAAAAGCGCCTGTTTGTCACCCCTTTCCCTCTGGCAGTGGAGAGGGGAGAGCAGGCACCAGAGCACCTGACTGCTCCAACACTTCTGGAGCTCTTCTCTTTGCAAGGATCCACCGGGGTATTCTGGTACTGCAAAACTGCCCTCGTGTAAATATGCTGTTTGGTGGTGAGGGAGAAATGTTCTGTCTGTTCGGTAAAGTGGGTCTCCAGTATCAGTCTGACTTTGAATTCCCAATGTCTGCTGCATAGCTGCCTTATATTAACCATTGTTTAATTCCTCCGAGCTCAAAATAAGTAACTAGCTTCAAAGGAGAGCCTTGGGTAGAAGTTGGATTGGGATGTTCACCTCCATTGCAGAGAGATGTAGTTAGTAAGAGCGATTTGGTAAATGCTCCCTGGCCTCAGCCTTTGTTCTGTGGTGATAAAAAGGATACCGGCAAAAGTTGCACTTTTGGAGAGAAACTTAGGGAGGTTGTCACGTTGCTGTGCCTATAGGCTTAGGAGAGGGGGTTAAAAGGACAGGTGCTGGCATGGGACTGGCTTTCCACATACCTCAGGATTAACAAGCCCCTCCATCTTCATGTTCTAGTCTTGTGGGAGTAGGAGCTTCCTAGCTTGATGGATCAGTCTTGAACTGCCATTCCATGACCTGCAGCGATCCAGTGTAGGATCAAGCAGGACTCAGGCTGTATTTCAACTTGAGGCCTCTGGGATCCTCACCCAGGGTGTTGTGTGCCTGATGTTCAGTGTCACAGGTGCACGTGGATCCTACTGTGCCAACAGCACACTTGTCTCAGTGCCAAAAGAGGGGGTTGGTGGAGGAGGTCAGTGTTGCCTCTCCCTGGAAGAGGCAGAACAGTGGTCCTTGCCTTGTGCCGTCTTGAACACCCTGTCCTGTTTTGCAGGCAGAACACGAGCTGAGGCTCACACAGACCGAGTTTGATCGACAGGCAGAGGTGACACGTCTCCTGCTGGAGGGGATCAGCAGCACACATGTGAGTCTTCCTGGGTAACCAGAGGGGTGACAGGGACTACAGAGACTCTTGGCTCCTTTCTAGAAGAATGCCAAGAGGATGGTGGAACCCTGCACTGGGAGTAGAGGTAGAAGAGGTTATAAATTTGGATGCTGTAATGCTCAAACTAAAAACATAATGAAGCACGCACAGACAGTGCCACTGTGACACCCGCAGTTCTGCAGTCCTCGAGATGCTTCCGAGCCAGAAAAACCTTGTTCTCTCACTAGAGCTGTGGGCTAGCCACATGGGCATGGCTAGAGTGCCATGAGCAGCCTCCTTTCTGAGATCACCCTTGGGCCTATGCAACATCCCCAAACTTAACAAATTAGTGTAGTCAAGCCAACCAAGTAACTTTTAAATACTGGCCTGCGCAAGTCTGCTTCCCATGGGGGTCGGTAGTAGCTGCAGGAAGAGGGTTCCTGTGCCTGTCACCCAAACTCACAGACCAACTTATGGTCCTTCTCCCTTCAGGTGAATCATCTTCGCTGTCTCCACGAGTTTGTGGAGTCTCAGACCAACTACTATGCTCAGTGTTACCAATACATGCTGGACCTGCAGAAGCAACTGGGCAGGTGAGACAAGAGACTGCTTTTACTTCTCTACAGGTTACTCATCTGGCTACCCCTAGCTCAGGCCTCCTTCCCCATCCCACGTCATAATGTTGGGTAGAAGTTTTAAAGTCCCCTCCAAGCTCTGACAGAACTTCTGAGCTTACAGAATGATGACCAATCCCGGTGCTATTGCATTTAGAGCAGGCTTTGCCATTGGATTCATCTGGGGTTTGTACATTCATCTCAAAGCATGATGGCCATGAGAGTTCAAACATTCTTCCTGTAAATTAGTTAAATCGCATGGGAGACAAATTCCTGTTGCCAAGCAGCAAGCCTGAGTGTGCTCAGCTGCAGCAGTAACTAATTCTGTGCTGCTGGCTGCACATCCCGTGGGCGCGGGCAGGGCTGTTTTGTCTGTTAACCCATCCCATCAGTGCAGTGGCCTGACCCAGGAGGGGCTGTTGCCTCTGTGTGATCACTCACGACTCCTGTTCCGTTCTTTTCCATGCTTGCAGCGCCAAAGGAGAAATGTAAGTAAGATGTTGCACAGGACTGGCTCTAAGAGCTCTCCACCTCAGCCAAACTCTGGAGTCTCTGCAGACTTGTACAAAGGCCAGCAAGGGACAGAGCTGCACTCCCTTAGGGCAGAGGGGGGATATTGACAGATAAACAAGACCGTGCTCCATTACTGTCTCCAGCTAGAGAGGCCAGAAAGCCTGGGAGCCTCCAGTTGTGGCATCTAGTTTAACAGCAACAATGACTGTCCCTTTCCTGAAGAACTAGCAGACTAAAGAGATAACACAGATGACGTGAGAGCAGGGCAAGGACACAGCACAATGGGCCCAGTAAAACAGCTGCAAAACCAGACCCCTCTCTGGTGCCACACTTCAGTCTTATAATCCGCAAGTTAGGTGCCAGTCCTGTAACAGGACACTGGAATCAAAATAAGCAGACAAATCTTACCTGTTGCATAGTCTCAGCACCTGAGAACTGAGTGCATTTCCCCACTCAAAGGGCAGCGTAGGTAAGTTACAGCTGTTAGCTGGAACTCTTGAGCATCATCTCTGCAGCATAACTTCTGAAAGAGCGAGCTCTTTCTTGGCTCCTCATACGGGAGCCTTACTGAACTCTGCTTTTTTCTCCCATGTAAGATTTTCAGGCACATTCGTAGGCAACACAGAATCCACATCTCCTCCCCCAGCTGCTACCTCTCCTCCAGCTGTTGCCACTGCCACACTCCCTGCTGTGCCTACTATTCCAGTTGTGCCCACGATTGTTGGGGTGCCTAATACCGTGGCAGAGGGTGTACTGAACCCAAATGAAGTGAAGCCTCCCGCCAGCGGGACACGGAAGGCCAGAGTCCTCTATGATTATGAAGCAGCTGACAGCACTGAGCTGGCACTTCTTGCAGATGAGGTTGGTAGCTTTCCTTTGCGTTGAATTTTGCTGTAACTGCCTAGCAGCCCATTGCATGCTCAGCAAGGTCTTGGTTATTTTTCCTGCCCCTAAAAACCCTATTTTGTGGAACTGCTAATAGAGTCTTTTCCTTGACAGTAGTATCCGTTGAGTTGCGGTGAGCTTGTGCTCGTGGCCACTTGCTGTTTATCACCTCAATAACTCTTCTATTCCTGTTGCAGTCTAGCTGTACCCAGCTAATAAAATACACCAACAGTCAGCATCATCACTGTGACCCTCAAATATAGCTACCTTACCTGAGAGCAATGGGATAAGCTGCTGGCTGGAGGCCTGGTCTAATCATGCTGAGAAAAAAGGAAATTCAGCAAGTTGCAAACTCTCTTGTTGACTAGACTGAACTTTTGTATTCAGAAGGGATGACGTAGCAATATCATGCCACCCTGTACGCAAAAATACCTGAAGTCAATTTGGAGAATGAAAAGGCAACAGGGACATTACTGGGCAGATTTCTGTAGATCTTCTATTAAAGCCGCAGATAGCTCCAGGGAAAGGGCACAGATGCCTGCTAAATGAACTTGAGGAATTATTGTTCTTTCAGTAGCCATCTGACTGAACTTCTTGGCCCTGTCTGCAGAATAAGGTCCTGTCTAATGCTGGCTTCTCTCCCCAGATGATCACTGTGTACAGCCTGCCAGGCATGGATCCAGACTGGCTCATAGGGGAAAGAGGGAACCAGAAAGGCAAAGTTCCTGTCACTTACTTGGAACTGTTAAGTTAAATGTCTCCAGGAAGAAGAATGTACAAGCAGAATGCACCCCTCATCTCCTGGCACTTCTAATGCGGATTCTTCATCCGAGACCATTGCTCTCTTCAGGGTTGACACTCCATTGCTAATATGGGAATTGTGGGAAAGAAGTGGTAAAGCTGTTACAGTAAGGTTTTGGGAAAGGGCTGATGACACCCAAGACTGAATTCGTTAACTACCAGTGCAGCCTGCTTTGAGGTTAGTCTTGATGGCGCAAGATTCCTTGATTACTTTTTTCCTACCCTGTCCTAGACCTGTTTATTGCAGTGGCTTTCCCAGGGCCAGCAAGCTGTCTCCCTCAGCAGCTGCTCACGGAGTTTAAGTTACACTTCCCTTGTGTCTGGTGTGGGTTAGCGCCTATCTGCCCTCCTGTCCTCTCTGTTCTTCAGCAGTAGAATTGCCCAAATCAAACCATCAAGCATTCCAGTGGGGAAGTGTCCCACACAAACCCTCTGACATGTTCTTGCTCTTAAGGCAAGGAAGCTGTACTTCAGAATTAAGAGCCTGTTAAACCCACCCACCTTGTTCACCTGTGAGAGAACAGTAATGCAAGGCTCTCTGAGCCACGCTCACTACCCTGGTGCCTGATGGCTTCAATCTAGGACTGTCCTCTGAAGCTGGAAGGAAATTTCTTTGTGAAGACCAACCTAATAACATAGGGCCTGTATGTCAAAAATCAAACCTCAGTGCAAGGGACCATGCATCTTGCTTGCATTTCCTCTGAGAAACTGCTCTTGGACTGCAAAGAGTTTACAAGCCTTTTTACAAGCTTTGCTCCCTGTGTTAATTGTCCAGGCTTTTCTTTCAGCGCGTCTGTTCCAGGCATGTTTTAGCCTGACTTTATTTTCACCCTAGATCACTGATTTAACGAATAGTTCCCCTCCCATCTTGGCAGTGAACGGACTTGGTGCATCCTAGTACAGCAAGGGATTGTCCCACTTGCTATTATCTCCAACAATGAGCTATTCTTGGCCATGCACACACTAAACAATCCAGGCTGCCCTTGATGCATGTGGTGGTTTAGGTCAAAGGCAGTGCTCAGGTGTGTTTGCCTTTTAATCCTGTAACGAGCTTTTTGGCTAGAGCTCACCTAAAGGACTTCCACTGCTGTGTAACGAGTTTTCCACTCAAGGTGGATGGAAGAGAAACTCGCCTGCACCAAGCTCTCTGTTCACTACCTTCCCCTCAGTATGTCAGAACTAACTTTGCTTGTTTATTGATCTTTTGCACTTTCCCCAATGGTATCGTGACCACTCTAATGTAACAGGGCACGGAGCACCTGTGTATGTAGGGCTCATGGTTTTCAGCACTTATTTGCCAATAAACAAATGCCTGACCTCCAGCCTCAGTGTATTCTGTGGGTTCAGGGCTGCTCTTGCTCTCCAGCCATGTGACTGCAGGCTGTGGGGACAAGCAGCGCTGGCAGGGAGGCAAAGGGAGGCAGCTCAGGTGGGAGCTGCGCCGTTCTGCTGGCCCAGTCTTGGAAGCGGGTGTAAAAGCAAAACAAAGCTGCTAATCTCAACGTGCCTTAAGGCTGTTAAAGTCTTGCAGCTCCTTTCCCAGATGACACATCTCAGTTGTACTACAGATTCAGGAACTCTAAGAAACAACAGCTCCTCCTTAACCTGAAGCAAAAATAGAGCAGCAGTATCACTTTAGCTGCTGAGAGACTGGAAATGCTATTCTAGATCTAACAGACCTTTTTTTGTTGTTATGGAAACTAGACCTGCTGCTAATTTAAAATCCTAAAGCCTTGTCCCTAGCACCCAGCTTGGAAAGAACTCCTGGGAAAAGCAGCTGTTGAAATGCTCTGTAGTGTAGCAATAGCACGCAGTTTTTCTACAGCTAAACGCTAATGAAACCCTAATGTGGAAATCACATTGCGCTACTGTTTTAGTTAGTTTTACCACTGCAATGATTACCATTGCCACAGTTCTACCCTTTTTGTAGATCCTCCCCTGCCTCTTTCCCTGCCTCTTCCCCTTCCAGCTTCCAGTATGTATACCTTTCCCTCAGGCCAGTGACATCCCTGTTATTCCTCTCCCTGGTGCATTAAAGAAAGAGGAAGAACAGCTTTAGCAAAAACAGCAGCAGCTTAATGATGCAGAAAATGGTGTCTCTTCCCTCAGAACAGCCAGAAGGAAGTCTGTTCCTGGCAGCAGCACTCCCTTCCCTCTGTATTAGAAAAGAGCCCATGGAAAATCTAGTGCTACTTCTAACTGACTCTCTACACAAAGGTTACACCCTCATGCTGCTGATTTGCAGATGCCATGGTGAGCCACCCTTGGCTGAAAGCTGTTCCAGGCCCCTTTGTGGCTGAGGGGCAGGCAAAGGTACAATTCAGGGCTGAAATGCTGCTGTCTAAAGTGAAGGTATGGCTCTAGAACAGATGTAACCAAGAGCATCTGCTATCCTTCACTATCTGGCACCAAGGACTCCTGCCTAGCACCACATACTCTCACTCTAGTGCTTCAGGAAGTATCTACAAGAACATACTACTTCTCCCTAAATTCCTGTTCTATCCGTTCTTGTTGAACACTAATAAAGTGACTTGCACACTGCGTGTAACTTCAAAAGCTGTAACAAAATGAAAGACACGTACAAGAGCTATCAAATAACAGCCCAAAGCACTACTGAACTTGCTTAGATGTACTGAATTCTGGCTTTACTTCCACTCCCCATAGCTACCTGTCAGCAATTTGCTACCTCCTCTGCAGTTCTTCACCTTCAAATCTCCATGTTTGCACTCATAGTTCCCTGTGGCAGAAAGTGTTAAAGGTTACAGGTAGCCCCATCTAAACACGATCAGGCTTAGGACTGTCGCACCATCTCCCTCCCTGTCAGAGCAGCTCACCTGAGCTTTCGGAAGGTAATCAAGCCCCTCTCTCTTCTACTTTAAGACCACTTTGCTCCAGCCAGCTAGTTCAAATCCCTCCAAAGCCTCCAGAGCAAGTAAAACTAGATCAAACAAACGTGCTAGAATATCACCATCACTTAAGCTTATAAGGGGAAAAAAAAAAAACAACCCAGCAACCTCAAAGCAACATAATCTAATTTTCTCACTCTAGTCTCTTAAAACCATCGAGATTAAAAAGGTTCTGACTGGTAAAGCAATCAAGTGTCTCTTTAGGAAAAAATTGGTAGGTTACTAGCTCACAGCTACATTGAAATTTGATTTCCTACCTCAGTAAAGTCTGTCTAGATTTCAGGCTTTATTTTAAGCAATAATCACTGTCCTCTTACTTTCTCCAACACACGTTGAGCCTTGGACCTTTCAAGAGTTTGTTCATCTACTTGAGAGCTACAACAGCACAACACAACTGCACCGTAGGCAGTGTCTTCCTTCTAGCTTGACCCTGCGCCCTCCCCTGCTGCCGCCACAGGCAGATAGCAGCCTGGACCTGTGCACAGAGTAAGCCGTGCGCATGGTCCGCACCATCATGTGCGGAAGAATCATTCCTGGTGAGTATTTCATAGTGATGCTCGTTTAAATCCTCCTACGAGTTCCTCAACGCAAGAGCAAGAGAAAGGAAGTGGGTGTGGGAAAGCCGAGGGAATCAACCTTGGATTCTAATTGCTTCAAACAGTATCTGCATCTTCACTCACAAGCCACAACTCGCATCACTGTTAGCTGGGCCTTCAGCCCAGCTGATGCAGCAGAACTACTACGCAGAAGATGCAGCATCGGTGCAGGCTGCTATGCCCAGTACAAAACCATGAACCCAGCTGCTATAAAGGTTTTAATATCAGTATAAATAGGGCACAGTTACAAAAAACTGCAAGACTGGAGCAATGGAATTTTGACTTAAAAACCTTGAGTGAGGCCTTGCTCTTCAGAAACACACACAACACACAGACTGCAGGGTGAAGGGAAGGCGTGAGCACGCATACACCATCTTGCCTTGAACCATTCAGTACAAAAATAGCAGTAGAAAGATGGTCTCTGAATTGCTGGCTGATCCCTTGGTTGTGCCTTAACTGGACTCTGACTGCAAGGGAGAGGCAGATTGCACCTTGTGTTACGAGCAGAGTTAATGCCCAGCAGAAAGTTTGTCTCCTCTCTCCATCCAGCCACAGCTTCCCCAGCTGAGATACAAGCTATAAAAATAAAGGTTTTGACTGTTCAGCACTTGTACCCAGCCAGGATGCTCTAGCAGATGGAGCGGGCAGGCTGCGCACGTGGGCTGATCACTGAAGAGCCGCTCTTGGCTTTCCTTACATTCACTCTGCTACTGGGTTGCAAGAGTTCAATGGGATCTCACTGCTGATGTTACAGCTCGGTTTACACCACTGCCCACACCAGGCCTCCCTCCCTTTCCCAACTCCTCGTCACGAGCTCTGCCAAAGGTGATGCCTTCTGCGGTGGACATGAATCGTTCTGCTGCAAGTCCTGAAAAGGGAGGCAGGGGCAGGACAGAATCTATCTCTGCACGTGCCGGACAAAAGCCTGCACGAGCTGAAACAAAGGCTCCTGCCCCTCAGGACCCAGCTTGGAAGCAGACTTTCCTTGGGGAGAGGGAAGAACCCCGCTGGCAGGTGAAGAGGGACCACCACGGCGGAAGTAACGAGACAGGCTGGAGAGCAGTGTACTCTGAAATGAGAAGCACGTAACAAGTTAGCTTCTTTCAAACACACACCCCTCTCCCTTCCCAAACAAGGTGCCGCTGGCACAGGAACAGGCACCAACACGTGCAGCCCAAGATGCCTAAGGCTGCTGACTCGTGCTGGGGAATGGGCTCAACTGGGCAGCCAAAGACAAATGACCTTCTCCCATGACACATGTATGCTGACCAGCGAGAAAGGATGGTACAAGCTGCTTACCAGCTCAGAGCTCAGCTCCTGTTTCATCCGCTGCTTATCGCGGGGATGCACAGCTGGGTCTCTCAAGTACCGAACAGCCTGGGAGATGAGCAGGTAGAAACAGTTTTCCATTGTAAACATGAGCAGAGACCTGTGCAAAGAAACACACATCAGCAGGAGCCAAAAAGGTCAGCACACTCTAGTTTCAAGGTCAAAGACTCTTAGAAAGACTTCGCATACAGGGTACATGCAAGGGAACACCGTTCACGTTCTGTTCAAGCAGCGATACCCAAAAGCTATGGTCTGCAGAGTAGAAACCCCTGTTGGCCATCAGGAAAGTCTGATTTAAATATACTGGCAAATAAGCATCAAACAACTCTCTGCATCTTAGGATGGGATGGCTTCACACACCTTCCCAAAAAAACCCTGCTTGCTCTGGAGAGCTTCTGATGGGCTAGGTGAACTCCTTGGATTCAGAGTGAGCAGCTCTGAAGCTACACAAATGCCTGTAAACCTCAGTTCTGATCTGGGGAGCGTTAGGTTCTGCTCCTTGGCCATGACTAAGTCAAAGAGCTAGAAACTTACTTGAGGGTTTTGGTTCCCTCTTGCATATTCAGCCCTGCAGCCTGAGGGAAAGGTTCCTTCTTCTTAT